CCTTCCAACTCTCATTAAAACTCTAGCAGCAGCATTTTGGATCAACTGAAGACTTCTTAAAGAGGTTTTTAGATGTCCAGATAATAAAGAATTACAGTAAATACAGGTAGGTGTTCAATACTGCAGTCTACTCTACAGCATAAATATGTCTTTCTGTACTACTTACAAAACTACAGGTATTTTTTCAGTGTTTCAACTGGATTCCTTAGAAGAACCAATGAATATTTATGGATGAAGCTGGTTCAATCTGACCAAAAYGAGGAGGAGAGGCCGGAGTGTGATTGGCCAGTGGGGTGGGACTGTAACATTATGTGCTGCCATCAGCAACAGTGGGGTTATCCACCATCATGCCACACTGGGGCCAAACAACACTCAACATCTCCTGACAGTTCTCTGTGATCTTAGTGATGATGTTTTAGGTGGTCAGCAGCAGGATCAGGAGCAGCCAGGGCATCCTGTCTGTATGGGACAATGTGAGTTTTCATCGAGACATCAGGTCAGAGAGTGGTTCAGTATCAACCAAGTCCACCATACTCCCCTTTCCTCAACCCAACAGAGGTCTTCTCTTCGTGGCGTTGGAAGGTTTACGACAGGCAACCCTACACCAGATCCACCATAGGTGTTTTATCCCACGCTGCCTGGCCAGGGACAGTGTCCCCTGTGGTGAAGTCCTGTGGTCTGACCCAGCAGGTCGCCGTGATGCTGTAGAGTACATGCTGTGTGCACATTTGTTTCAATCACATTTCATTCAGAGAGCCAGTAAATATAATCTCAAAGGTCTGGAGATGTTTGTAAAGCCTGAAGTTAGAAGTTTGAAGGAGCGCTGCACGTGGGTGCAGAGAATTAAACTGTGGATTAAACTGATGATCACTGGAAACATGCTTCATCCGTCTTCATTTAAGAAAATTAAGGTTGATTTATTGAGACTATATGATCTTATATAATACGTTTTCAATTGACACTAAATTGGTTTTTGAATTGTTCTGTTTTTTGATGATTTTTTGTTTGATGGTTTAATTTTAAGTATTTTATCTTTGTTGAAAAGGGGCAGAAAATATAAGATTTTTTTCTTCTGCCACCTTTCATTTTCTTTATAATTAGATTTTTTCTTTGTCTGAATTATTTTTTGTTTTTAATTGGAAATGAATAAAGAATTTCAAATCAAATCAAATTCTGTGTACTTTTTTTTTTGTACTGTAAAATGTTAATTAGGAGTTTTGTTCTGAAAATGTATTTTACTTTGTGGAAAATAAAGATGATTTCAAAAGCTTCATGATGTTGTTGTTGTGTTTCTCCCTGTTGTGTACTGACTGTTGTCTGTTCTGTTGATTTCTTCCAGGTCTGATTTAACAACATTGTTTGGTTTTGAGCAAAGTTTAAACTATTTGAAGCTGGAGTTTGGTTTTAGAGGTTCTGTTAAAGCAGTTTGAAAATGAGCTTTTGTATTTACAGTTTATGGATGGTTTCAACAAATATGTTTTAGCAACTGAGAAAAACTGTGATCTGTAGATCCAGACTTGCAGATTAGATGGAAGAAATAAAAAATGTAATTTTGAATAAAGTTTTTTTCATTTATTTATAAGAACAGTTTTCATTAATCAATATTCCATGAATGAGAAACAGATGCAGAAAACACATGTATAAAACAACACACG